GGAGCAAGCCAGGCTCTGTGAGGCTGCCACCTAGCGGGTGCTGGGGGAAGCCAAACACACCGCTCAGGAGAAGGCAGCAGAGGCCCAAAGGCCACAGCTGGGCCAGGCAGGGCCGTGATTCATGCAGGGGGCTGCTGCGCTCAGGCTCCTGGCTTGGCTCGAGGAAGGGGGAGCAGGAGCCATTCGGGGCTGGAGTCTCCCTGCACCACTGGCTTCTGCTGCCAGGTTGGGGCTGGGGACTGGCTCCCACTTGTCCGGGGTTAACCCTCAGCCAGGGCCCCGTGACCTGACCCAGCACCCTGGGGCACTTACCCGGCCACGCCCTGGTCCGGCACGTTCATGAAGTCTAGGTTGAGCTGGGCAGGGAAGGCTTTGGCCCTGGGGCTGGCTCCATGCCTGGGCAGGGTGGGCTGTTCCATGCTGCCCTGCCGGGCGATGGAGAGACGGTGCTGGAGAGGGGCCCGGGAGCCAGGGCTGCTACGCCGGCTGGTGTCGCTCCTCTCTCTGCCTGGAACGGAGCGGGGGGGAAGAGAGTCACTTGGAGCTGAAGGAACCCAGGCATCCTGCATCGGGAACCCTCCCTGACCCGGGGGGGGGGGGTGAGAGAGAATTAACCCTTTCATTTCCGGGCACCTCCTGGGACCTCCTCTGCTGTACCTGCTACTGACCCCAAAGGGAAGAGAGCAGCTGATGACCTGCAACCTCCGAACCTCTATTCACCCTTCCTGTGCTGTACAACCAGGCAGCGCTGACCAAGGGGCGGATGTGCCCCGATAGCCTTGAATGCATGGCCCTGGCCGGAGTCCAGCTCCTGGGGGTTGGGGCTTGGGTGGGGTGCCTGTAGGCCCCCTTGGAAAGCAGCCGAGCTGGCCCTGTGGGCACGGTGAGGAAGGCACCCTGTGGCCAGATCTCCTTCCCCCCTGGTGGGGTGATTGATGGTACATGTGGGGCGATGGGATGCTTGGGACTCATCTGCAAGAGGAGCCTTGTACCTGCCGCAGGGGGGTAGTTCCGGCCGGCGATGCTGCTGCTGTTCAGGTACCTGCTCTTCCTGGTGTCCCTCCGTGTGGGCCCTGCAGTGGGAAGGATCACAATTAGCCCTCCCGCGTGCTCTTCCCCTTAGCCCTCCCCCCCACCCCCAGGGCAGGGTTGTCCCCTGAGGAGTCGTGTCCAGGGCTGTGCCCGCTAGAGATCAGGTCCCATCCGCTGCGGGACTCTGCCCCCTCCAGAGCCGAGGGAGAGAGCCAGCAGCTAGGGCTTGCTCCTTGCAGCCCGTTCCCCGCTGCCCGCAGACACTCACGGGCGTTCCTGGGCAGCCCGGGCCCGATGCTGACGATCAGCACCTTCCCGTTGTTCCGGAGCAGCGCCACGTCGCCCTGGCAGATCTGGAACTGGATCTGGCGGGAGCCTGCTGCCCCCCAGGGGCCCCAGCCGTCCTTCTTGACCTTGAACTGCAGCCTGGGAGAGAGAACGGAGCGGGAGTGAAATCAGAGGCTGAGATAAGCAGATGGGAAAGCACTGGGCTCAGCAGGACCCCATAGGGGCCCCAGCGCAGGGAGGGGGACTGAGAGCCAGGCCCCGGCTCCAAGTTTTGTGGCTTTGCATCCAGGCAGCCCTTGGTACCGGTACCAAGCAACCAGCCGCACATCGCCAAGGTGAGTTGGGAGATCATGTGAGACCCAGCCCCCACCTCGAACCGGGGGCCTGCACTCAACACAGGGGCAGGAATAGAACCCGGGAGTCCTGACACTCCCCCACTATCTCCCCCCCTTTAATTAGACCCCATTTTCAGACTGTAAGCTCCTTGGGACAGAGGCTGTCTCTTTGCTCTGTTTGTACAGCGCCTAGCACCGTAGTCCATGGCTGGGGCTGCAAGGTGCTATGGGTAGATAGTTAATAGGAATAGTTCCCCTCCTAGGGCTGGGAATGGAACCCAGGAGTCCGGACTCCCAGCCACCCCTGCTCTAAGCACCCCTCATTCCAGGGCAGGGAGAAGAACCCAGGAGTCTGGGTTCTCCCGGCCCCCTCCCCCCCCAACCTGCTAGTAACCAAACACTGCGGCCTGGGCCAGCTCTGCCCAGCGGGGGCCCCTGCTGGCGGCAGCGTGGACTCACTGGTTGCTGAACTTCACGGACAGCTGCTGGCGGGTCCTCTCCTCGTAGCGTTTACACAGCAGGCTCAGCAACTCCGTCTTGAAGACGGACTCCAGGACGCTGTCGTACTGCGGCTCGTGGACGATGAGGAAGTCGTCCTGCAAGGTGCTGCCGGGGGTGGGGGAAGCAGAGGCCGCGTCAGCCGCGGGCATACTCCCCACGCTCTCTCCGAGGCCGGAGCCAGCTGGGGGCAGTGCCCGCAGACTGCTCGGGGCACTGGCTCTGGCCAGGGCAGAGTAGATGCACGAAGCAGAGCGGTCTCCGGAGCAGGCCTGGTGCTGGCTGCTTGAGAGGCGGCTCGGGCTGAGCACAGCAGCCTGGTGCCGCAGCCCCCCGAGTGGGGCTTGGCCCCCCAGCCCCCCTGCAGCTGGGACAGGGCTGGGCCGCACCAGCCCCCAGGGACGGCCACCGGGCTCCTACCTCAGAGACACCGACTGGATCCTCTCCAGCTCCACCTGCCGCTTCAGCACCTCCTTGATCGTCCCCTTCTCGGGGCCCTGCTTCACCTTCTCCCGCCCGATGAGGTACAGGAACCGGGGCGTCAGGATCAGGTCCCGCTTCACTGTCTGCGTGGGGGGAGAGAGGGGCTGAGCAGGAGGCCAATGGAGGGAAGCAAGGGGGGGGCCAAGGGGGGCAGGGAGGTGAAGCAGGGAACGTGCGGGGGGCTGAGGGGGAGGTGGGGCAAGCCCAGCAGAGCCTGGGGGGTGGCAGCACACATTGGTGCGTGGCCTGGGGTAGGATGGAGACAAGCACTTGGGGGAGGGCAAAAAAAGTGGGGAGGAGGTGGAGGGGGAAGGGCTGAGAGGAAATGGGGGAGCAGAGCCCAGCCCACAGGCAGGAAGAGGGAGGCTGGCGGGGGCCTGCAGGGAGCCGGTGCAGGGGAAGAGCAGAGCCTGGCCCTGGGGCAGGAGGAGGGGAGCTGGGGGTGGGGGAGAAGAGTAGAGCCCGGTCCTGCCGTGGGCAACAGAGGGGGCCGCCGGGGGGCCCCGCGCTCACCTTGAAGCGCCGGTCGTACTTGATGACGGTGTCGGCGAAGTCCACACGGTCGCGCCGGCCCACGAAGCGCCGCAGCTCGGGCCGGCTCTCCAGCCCGATGTAGTCGCCCACGAAGTTGCGGTTGAGGCTGTTGCGCCGGCGCTCCTTCTTGTTCAGCAGGATGTTGGAGGCTTTGGGAGGGGGAGATACGGGGGCACTCGGAGTCAGACCTTGTTAAACCTTGACGAGCGGTGTGTGTGTGTGTGTGTGTATCCCTTTCCCCCCCACCCCGACTCTGACTCAGGCCTCGTCCACACGGGGATGGATTCCAAGTGCTGGACTCAGGTCCCAGACAGGACCATTGTGACCAGTCAGTCCGACCCCCTGGCCACCACCGACCAGAGCCCTGCCCCCAGCTAACTCCCGAAGGAGAGCTCAGAGAGCAACACCTGATCTGGATTGAAAAATTGTTAGCGATACCGAATCCCCCGGACCCTGGAGAAACTGAGCCCAGGGTTCATTCCTCTCACTGCTGAAAACCTACGCGTCCTTTCCGGCCGGAATTGGTCTCGCTTCAGCTTCCAGCCCCTGGAGCGTGTTCGACCTTTCTCTGCTAGACTGAAGAGCCCGTTCTTAAAGACTTGTTCCCCGCGTAGGTAATTAGCGACTGGGATCCAGTCGCCCCTTATCCCTCTGTGTTAAGCTAAATCCATTGAGCTCCTTGAGTCTCTCACGCTAATGCTTTAATCCTCCTCGGGGCTCTTCTCTGGCCCCTCTCCAATTTACTAACCTCCTTCTCAAGGGGTGGGCACCAGAACTGGACTCTGTCCTGCCCGGTCCAGCTGGTGTCCCAGGGGGGACAAATTTTAGTCCGCAATCACTGATCGAGGCAGCAACAGCGGAGCTGGGGGGGGGGGGGGGGGGTAATGGGGCACTGGTGGGGCCACTTTCAATTTACACCCACTGCCACACGTACACCTAAATGTTACCGGGGGGGGGGGCAGTTTCCCATGGTGGACAAGCCCGTACGCCTTTGTCCCACGCACAGGCACTCTCAGTTCGCCTGGAGTCCATCCCTTACCAACAGGAACCACCTCTGGCCCAGCCTCGGGTCATGCCGGCTTACCCAGGCCGGTGTACGTGTGTGCGCCGCCCCCCCCCCCCCCCGCACAGCGACCAATGGAGGGGATGGCTGCATCGCTCAGTGGGGAAACCTCAGGATCGCTGCCACCTCCAGGAGCAGAAGGAAGGAGGGACGGGTTTTGGGGATGACCCTGGGCAGGTCACTGCAGCTCCGGGCCTCAGTTTCCCCAACCGGAAAGCGAGGGCAATGCTCCGTCCTTTCTCCCAGCCTGGGTCTATTCAGCGCGTGAGTGCCAAGCTGCAGGCACCATCTCCAGCCCTGTGTCCGTGCAGCGTCCGGCACATCCGGGCCCTGCTCTCTGTTCAGGCCCCTAGGCACTACCGTAATGCACCTGATATCTAAGCAGTGGCTGGAGGTGGCCAGGCCCGATTCTGCTTTTCCCCAGGGCTGGGCAATCAGAGGGTGTGAGGGGGCGGTGCACGGGACCCACCTTCCTCCCTCATGCGGATGTACTTGCGCACGGCCACATGCTTGCGCCAGGCCTTCTGGATGACCCGGGCGTATCCGTCGTAACGCCGCTCCCGCATCTCCTCCAGCAGGAACAGCTGTAGGGGCAGGGAGCACCGGCTTAGGGGGGCTGCCAGGTGATTCCCCCCCTGCCCCCAAATGCACGCCAGGCCCAGCCTCCCTAATCCCCAACTGGGAGCCAGCCCCCTGCTCTGCAGAGTGACAGTCCCCCACCCCCACTCAGCAACTTCAGGACCTGGCCCCTCCACGACTCCAGGGACTGCCTCTCCCATTGGCCTCTCCCCGCCCCCACCACCAACTTCAGGGACTCTCTCCTCCCCGCCCCCCCCAAGGAGGTCAGCCCCACCCACTCACCGACTCCGGGGCCTTGATGAAGACCTTGCTCTGGCCCAGCTGGTACTGGTCTGGGTCCATGTTGACGGAGCGCAGCAGGTGCACCACGCCCTGCTTCTCGTCCCCCCGCCAGGCAGGCCATGTCTCGGGGGTGAGGATGGCGTACCTGGGGGGAGAGAGGGGGGACGGCAGGTTGTCTTAGGGGCTCAGTAAGAGAGCAGGGGGGTTGGGGGAGGAGCTGTGGAGGGACATCTCCCAGAGGCAGCAGCTGCCACTCTGCCCTCCAGGGGCAGCCCCCGGGTATCCAGCGAGACGGGGTGCGATGCAGGGAAACCCTGGCCTTGCCCCCGGCACGGTTCCTGGACCAGAGCCTCCCTACTGAGCCCACGTGGCATCACACAAGCCATCAGAGCAGCCACCACCCTCATGGGCTCCAGACTCAGCTGCCTCTGACACGGAGCAGCCACAGGGGGCAGAGGTGACCCAGGGCCACTAAAGCAGCCATGGGGAGGACCCCTGCGTCAGCATGGCTCATACCTGCCTCCCTCCCGGTTCCCTATTAGGGAGGACCCCGTCTCCTCCCCCCGGTGCCCCTTCCCATAGCGGCAACAGGCCGAGGCTTGTGCCCCATCTCCTCCCCGGCCCATGGGACGGTGGCTCCTACCTCTGCAGGAACTTCTGGAAGAGCCGCCGGTAGGCGTAGCCGGCCCGGCGCACCCGGATGTTCTCCCGCAGGCCCAGGTATTCCACCTGGTGCTTCACCCTGGAGGAAGCCGGAGGGGGAAGAGAGACAGGTCTGAGCAAGGGAAGGGTAATCAGACACCCTGCTCCCCCACCCGTCTCCTCCTGGCTGGGCAGCAGATCCCGTCCATGTAGGGAGATGAGGGCCCAGCCACCCCCAGAGCCGGGAGCTGAAGGCACTTGGAGAGGCCGACCAGCCCTACAGAGCAGGGAACAGTCTGGAAAGGAATGAAGGGGAAACGCCCCGGGGGCCGAGGGTGGAACGGCTGAATGCTGGGAGTGAGGGGGTTGGGGGGCAGCGACAACAGCTGCCCAAGGGGGAAGGGCGGAGCAGCCCCTGGCTTGTGGCCCCCACCTGCTCTCCTCCCAGTCGCGGGGTCTCTTGGTCTCGTTGGGTTTGATGCAGCGGATGTAGTGGGGGGTACACTTCGTCAGGGTGCTCACCAGGTCGTTTGCTTGTTTCTTCAAAGGAACAAACCAACTTAAGCCTCAAAAGATGGAGGGTTTCTATGGTAACCGGATCCCCCACCCGCACTCCCCACCTCCATCCACCCCTTCCCCCCTTCATCTTTTAAATGGGGTCACAGCTAATATGGCTGCCGAGCTAGGCACTCAGATACCAGGGTGATGGGTGGCCGTATTACCCCTCTGATGACAGAGACATCCCACTGCTACAGTGGAGTCGCATCGTACGCGGGGGTTAGGTTCTAAAGTCAGCGCGTAAGGCAAAAATCGCATATAGTCAAAATTACCATTGTGTGTAATGGCGGGCGGAATCACCCGCACTACAGGTACAGTATTTAAATTGTTATTTTTCTTTTTTGCCGCGCGCGTAGAGTTAAAATCGTGTAAGTTGAATTCGCATATGATGCGACTCCCCTGTACTATAATAAAGCTCAGATCTACTGTCCCATGTTTCGATAGCACCTCCCCCAATCTCTCAAACCCCGCTCCCTTACTAAAAGGCCCAGCCAGGGATCGCTGAAATGCAGCTAGCTCTGGGGTGGGGCGCAGCCGCTGTCTGGCAGCGCTAGGCATCCTGTGTCCAATGGAAACTGTAGGAGGGTTGGGGGGGGGGGGCAGGGGGGGATAAGACAGCTAAGCATCATTAGCCAAAAACCAGCCGAGCGGTGAGGGGGAAATCTGCCGAGTGGAGCTCCCGAAGCTGCCCCAGCCCCTCCAGCACAGGAGCCAGAATAATCCCCCGACAGCTCCAACAGGCCGGGGGGAGGCCCAGAGATGAAGCAGTGAGATCTCCATGCTGGGAAGGGACGGGGCCGCCTCCCCCAGCCTCCCTCAGGTACCTTGATCTTGCTCCCGGCTGTGGTGGGGCGCCCTTTCTTCTCGGCGTTGATGTTCTCAGGAAAGCGGTCTCGGATGAAGAGGCTAAGGTGGGGAGGGAGGGAAATGATGTCAGTGCCCTGTGGGGCAGGGAGGTTTGAGGAGGGACTGGCTGGGATATGGAGCCTTTTGCCCTCTCCGCCGCCAGCTGGAGGCCAGCCCAGGAGCAACCCAGCATGGGACGAGTTTGTTGGGCCTCAGCTCAGGTCCAAGGGGACGAGCGTCCACAGCATAAAACCCACCGTGCCATTCAGCCGTCTCCTCAGCAGTGGGGCCAGGGACTGCCATCCCCTCCTCCACCCCCAAGGGCCGCCTCCAGGGCAGGGTAATTGTAACGGATACATAACCCAAAGCAATGAAAACATTCAGCGCTTATCAGCGTTACGTCCTAAAGCAGCAGAGCTGGGGATAGAACCCAGGCGTCCTGACTCCCAGGCCCCCCTGCTCTAACCACTGGCCTGCACTGCCCTCCCGGCCCGGGGCGGTGGCACTCACAGCTCACTGCTCTGCATCAGCTCGATGAGGTCGGTGAAGAGCACGTCGCGGTTTCGCTCACAGAATCCCTCCACGTCGTAGGAGACCTGAGGGCCGGAGAGCCGGGGTCTCAGGCAGCAGCCCAGGGAACAGCCTGGAGCCGGCGTGCTGGGGGGGCTCCCTCACACAGCCTCCCCGAGGGGAATGAGCCCCTCCCCATCACAGAGC